ATCTTAAGATTATTCGACCAAAAACAGGGAATGAAGCACTAGTGAGGGCCCTGGAATTTGAAGCTGCAAAAGCTACTTCCACCCGAAGCAGAGCTAGTCATAAAGTAAGACAAGCAGAGATAGAAAAGGACACGACAATCTCGGAACTCATGAACCAATTAAAGGGTATAGTTTCATCAGCCAGAGTTAATACAGTGTCCTTCAGAGGTGAATGCTATGCTTGTGGAAAGTATGGACACTCTAAAATAGAATGCCGTTCAAAAAAAATAGAAATGAGGATAATAAAAGATTAAGAGGAAGGTCACCTTCCCCCGCACCAAGAAGAAATTCGGAAAACTACCAACAGTCAAAGTAAGGGGGCAAACCCTGGCTGCGGATACAATAGCCCCCAGGATCGTTAGGGTTAGAAGCATAGCAGGTGGAAGCTTATCAGTAAGTGGTTCAATTTTAGGACGTAGTGTAAATATTATTGTTGATACAGGAGCTGAAATATCACTTGTTAGACCTGATATAATACCAAAGTATAAAATCGAACCCTTGAAAAACCAAATAACTCTTAGAACAGCAACAGGAGAGAAAAGTAATATTCATGGGCAAGCAGAGGTTTTATTAGAAATTGGAGAGAGGTTACAGATTTCACATAAGGTTCTTGTGGCTGATATAACTGATGATTTTATTTTAGGAATGGATCTTGTGAAGAAATATGGACTAATGTATGATAATGTTCCTGGAATTTTGAAGATTGGTAATGAAGAGTTTATACCAAAATATTACTCCGACCAAGGACAAGTAGGTCTTAAAACTATACAAGCTTATAAAATACCTGCATGCTCTGAACAAATTATTTATGTGCAACCTGCAAACAATCCTGAGTGGTGTGTTGGACTCATTGAACCAAAACGTGACAATGAATTTTTAACGGCTAGGACTTTATCCACAGTAAAACGTGAAATACCGATGAGAATAGCCAATATCAGTAACAAACAATTAGATATTCAAAAAGGTAAACCAATAGCTACCTTAGAGCCTGTGTCATGGATAGTCCGATGTGAAGAACCATCTAGTTTAGAGAAACCAAAGAAGAAATATGTTGATTTGAGTAAATTTGAGTTATCATGGGAACATTTATCACCAGAACAAACAAAATTGGCTCAAGAATTTGTACTCGAAGAAAATGATCTTTTTGACGACCATGAAATAGAGGGAACTGACTTAGTTTCACACCGAATTGATACAGGGAATGCTTACCCTATTCGTCAAGCCCCACGAAGACTTCCACTAGCCAAACAAGGAGAAGTTGCTGAATTGATCGAATCCATGAAAGAGAAAGGAGTTATAGAAGAATCATCAAGCCCATGGTCAGCACCTGTTGTTCTAGTCAAAAAGAAGGATGGTACAACAAGATTTTGTGTGGATTATCGAAAGCTCAATGATGTCACGAAGAAAGATAGCTATCCATTACCCAGAATTGACGATACATTAACAACGTTGGCAGGATCGAAATGGTTCTCTACATTAGATCTAAAAAGTGGCTATTGGCAAGTGAAGATCCATCCTGATGACAGAGAAAAAACAGCCTTTTCAACTGGAAGTGGATTGTATCAATTCAATGTTATGCCTTTTGGATTATGCAATGCACCAGCGACATTTGAAAGGCTAATGGAAATGATCCTAAAAGGATTGACTTGGAAAACCTGTTTAGTCTACCTAGATGACGTAATGGTGATGGGATCATCCTTTGAAGACCATTTGAAAAATCTAAAAGAAATATTCTGTAGGTTCCGGAATGCTCATTTGAAGCTGAACTATAAAAAGTGTTGCCTATTTCAAAACGAGGTGAAATTTTTAGGGCATACTATTTCACCTGCTGGTATACACACCTCAGAGGATAAGATCAAGGCAGTGAGGGATTGGCCAAGACCTAAAGATAAACATGACGTTAGAAGTTTTCTGGGATTATGCACTTATTATAGAAGATTTGTCGATAAGTTTGCTGATATAGCCAAACCATTACATACCCTCACAGAAAACAAAATCAACTTCAGCTGGACAAGAGAATGTGAAGCAGCATTTTGCCAACTTAAAGCTGCACTGTGCTCTAGCCCTATTTTGTCCTACCCACACACCTCTGGACTCTTTATTTTAGATACCGATGCAAGCAATAGGGGCATCGGATCTGTATTATCGCAAGTACAAGATGGTGAAGAGAGGGTCATTGAATACTTTAGCAAAACTTTCAACAAATCTGAGAGGAATTACTGCGTAACTCGAAAGGAATTATTAGCTCTAATAAAATCTGTGGAGCATTTTCATAAATACTTATATGGCAGGAAATTTCTTATTCGTACAGATCATGCAGCATTGAAATGGTTACTGCAAATGAAAATACCGGAAGGTCAAATCGCAAGATGGATTGAGAGACTACAGCAGTATGACTTTGAAGTAGAACATCGGCGGGGCAAGATCCATAACAATGCTGACGCTTTATCCAGACGACCATGTAAGGAAGCATGTGACCACTGTAAAAGAGTAGAGAAGAAAGAAGGCATTGTCAATCTAAGAAGGACTACAATCGAATTGAGACAAGGATGGTCTACAGAAGAACTGATCGAGGCACAAGAAGCAGACCCAGATGTAAAACTTCTCAGAGAATGGAAAAGGGATAACCGAAGGCCTACCTGGAAAGAAATTTCAACAATGGGATCCATTACGAAGGCGCTTTGGGCACAATGGGACTCGTTAGTTATAGAAAATGGACTACTCAAGCGGAACTGGGAAAGTACAGATGGGAGAGAAGTCAAAACTCTCTTAGTTGTACCCAGGGACAAGGTAGAAGAACTTCTCAAGGAAATGCATGGTGGAACGTCCGGTGCACATTTTGGTGTCAATAAGACCATTGCAAAAATCAGAGAAAAGTTTTACTGGGTGTATTGCCGTGATGACGTAGAAGCCTGGTTCAGGAAATGTACCACATGTGCAGCTACAAAGGGACCACCGAAGAAAACCCATGGGAAAATGGAGAAGTACAATGTCGGATTACCGTTTGAGAGGATTGCTGTCGATGTTGCCGGGCCTTTTCCCACCACCAACGATGGCAACAAGTACATACTGGTTGCTATGGATTATTTCAGCAAGTGGCCAGAAGCCTATTCTGCCGAATCAAGAAACTCAGACTATTGCACGTACATTGGTAGACCAGTTCATATCACGATACGGAGTTCCATTGGAATTACATTCAGACCAAGGACGAAATTTTGGAAGCGATGTCTTCAAGAGAGTTATGGAGATACTGAACATCCGAAAGACAAGAACAACTCCTTTACATCCACAGTCTGATGGAATGGTAGAGAGATTTAATCGTACAATGGAACAGTATTTGTCAAAGGTAGTAGGTGATCATCAAAAAGATTGGGACAAACATTTACCAGTACTGCTGATGGCTTATCGAGGATCAGTTCATGACACTACAGGTCACACTCCGGCGAAGGTACTATTTGGGAGAGAATTACGATTGCCATGTGATCTATTGTTTGGTAGCCCCGAAGAAGTACGTTTGGAAGTAGGCACATATGCAGATGAGCTCAGACTGCATTTGGATCAGATACATGAACTAGTTCGAGATAAGATTGAAGCAAGCACTGATCGAATGAAAACCAGATACGATCTAAAAGCAAATTCGGTTGGATTTAAAGAAGGGGACTTGGTGTGGTTGTACAACCCACAACGGAAGAAAGGTTTATCTCCGAAATTAACACAGGCCTGGGAAGGAGCCTATAAGGTTATGAAACGAATAAATGACGTCGTTTACAGGATCCAACGCACTCCAAGATCGAAGCCGAAAGTTGTACATCTGGACAGGTTGGCGAAATACTACGAAGGGAGCTTAGTAGAAAATTGTGACGTTGATCGGGACGATCAAAACTAAGAGGGGGGCAGTGTTACGGATTTGCCCTCAATGGTTTATGGATGTTTGGGAGAAATGATGAGACTGAGGAGAACCGTCGTAGGCACGACCACAGAGCTCATCTAGAGTTGCAGTGTCGATGTTCAGGACATCGAACTGCCTCGGCCATTCCAGTTTGAGATCGTCAGAGAAGAACAAGAGTAGCAAGCATTCCAGTCTGAGATCGTGAGAGAAGAACATAGAGTAAAAACCACGTGTCGGCATAGTAGAGTTCTTTGCAAATAAGGGTTATACATAAGTGACATTGACATTTTGTTGTGTTTATTTTCAGTTGTTAATAAAGGATATTTATTGTTGTTAAAAGTTATTGTATATATATATATATATATATATATATATATATATATCTCTTGAAATTGATTTATATATATATACTTTCAAAATATATATATATATATATATATATATATATATATATATATATATATATATATACATAATAAATATTTTATTAATATTCAGTCATTATTCTATTATTTAATTGAAATGATTATCAGAAAACAATTGAATATGCAGAAAATAATGATTAGGATTTTTTATGCATACATATCAACAATTATTCGCTGATTAAATATTTGTATTGAATTTATCTAGGGTTTCGTTGTAGCTAATTATAAGTTGGGATTTGGAGGTAGGATGATGTTATAAACTCAGAATATTATTAATCCATGTACGTATATGCAAATAATTGTTTTTACAGATTTAATACACTTTTTACATATTTACATATTTGATATACGTCATAAGTTTATTTTTAGCATTCTGGAAAAAATTAACTATGCCATCAATAACGGAACTTGTGAATACAACCAAGCCTCGCAAATCAGTCCTTATACCGTAAAAAGTTAACAAATTCATGTGATACTCGTACCACGTCGTTAATTTTTTCAATAGCTACTTAAGAGTCTTTCTCAATGATTACGTAATTAGCTACCCTAACAACATTTCGTTTTCACGCGATGACCCATTCAATCTATTTCATTTAAAACATGAAAGATTTTTGATATTCATTTGGTCATTTTAAGGTAGGATGAAGGTTTCAGTAGCTTAGGCGGTAGAACACCCGACTATGGTGCGGTAGAACTCGGGTTCGAGCCCCAATTGAAGGCATGCGCGTTTTTGTATGTCCTGATTGAAGTAGTTAAATTACTGATATATGCTGGGTAATGTACATTGATTAGATTTGCTTGATGGTCATTCGGAAGCAGGGGTAAAATGTATTTCCACTGAATTAAAAAAAAATGTAGGACAAATCAGTTGCGAGGCTTGGTTTTTTATAAGTTTTCTTTTTCATGGCGTTTCATTTCTTTCTGCAGATAGTTACACATATGCAGATACATTTATCCATTCATTGCGAATGTAACTTTATAATCCTATATATTCATAGGGAATTATGAAGTTATTTATGCAGTTAGTGTATTTAGAAAACTGGAACAAAATTACAAAATATTATAGTTTCTCCTTGATTCATACACTATGATTCTATGTCTGCTAGAAGTGCCTTAGAGTTTTGAAGCTCGGTCAGACAGTGAGTGACAAAATTAGGAAATTTCAGTTACATTTCTTAAGCTGCTGATTCAAATTGAATGAAATTTGAAATATACCGTGTTTGTACGATGCCCCGTACAAAAAACTTATAATATAACTTTCATCTTATAATATGACTTATAATATAACTTTTGCACAATCATTCAACTAATTTTCTTCGCATGTACAGCAAAAATGATTTTGGTTGCTTGGTGAGTCATAAACTACTTATGACGCGAAAACTTCAGATATTAATTTTAATACAGTACAACACGCCTGTTATCGATCAATATATATACGCTTGAAAGGCAGAAATCACAAACAAAGTAACTCAAGAGAGCTGTTCAAGAAATTTCGAGGTTAAATTGGATGAAAACAACTCATAAGTGAACACCACCAACCACAGAATTCACGGCAATAGACAAAAAGTTGAGTTTTGTAAAAAAGTGTTATAAATTAAATTAAAACTCAACATGAAAATTGGAGATATCAACCTGCAATATTTGAATATAAACTTAAATTCAAACACTTGAATTTATGATTTACACTTTATTGACTACATAGCATGACGCGTTTCGCCGTTACAAAAGACTTCTTCAGATGCTTACAGAATAATAAACGCGTCATGATATGGAGTCAATAGAGTGTAAATCATAAATTCAAGTGTTTGAATTTAAATTTACATTCAATTATTATGGATTTACATCAAGTAAACGCAAACACTATCAAATATTTGCAATATTTGATTGAATTCCTTACAAGAATAAATAACACCTTTTGAAATGTTCAAGACAAGTTGAAACTCCAAGAAAAAAATAAAACCAACACATAACTATAAGCATAATTTCATTATCGATGCAATTATGTTTCACGAATCAACAAAATCAATATCTGTTTAATGGTTTACAATATATCCATCATGATAATTAGTAGAAATTATGAATAATGAATGCAAGCGCTGCCAATGAAACAATCACAATGCTTAATAATTTTACGATGATTGAACTGGCAATTCACTATATATTTATCGAAAATTTTATGAATTCTATATTGCCTAAATTTGAAACATATTCTGAAGTTTAAATATTCAATTTTTTTTGATTTCGATCAATTTATTTGGACTTCAAAGTTCATCATTTATATCACATAATTCAATATTACTGTCATATTCGTTAACGGCATTGACGTGATTAATTTGGCTCGTGGAATATATCGAATTCATCTGACGTGATATTACAAATCAACGCAGATTCGGTGAGATAAAAGTGACCAGCACGTATGGAGCTAGAACGGCATATTTCAATCGACGAACAAACGGAAATACATACCCACGAAAATTGATCTATTTGTGTACCCTTCTCTGGCCCATAATTGGTTCCGAAGCTTTGGCAGAGTTGTTGTTCCCATAGGATGGAAGAATTCAATATATTTCCACCGCTCGAATTGAGAGCACCATCTTTTTTCTCACAGAGATGCCCCCTTGGCGTGTGGTCTAGTCTCTGGGATGAGTGGAATATTCCGAATTTCTAAAATACTTTTTCTTTTTTGAGTTCGCTGAATGTATGCATGAATGATAAATAAGTGAAATGCTTGAAGGTATCCAAATATATATATTACATAATAATCTATTTCATGATATATAAATAAGCAGTAAAGATTTTGAGGTTTTAATATCATTCATGAGTTCAAAAACGATCAAGGAAACATTGATTTGATTGTGAAATTGCCCAAAATTAAGGCAAAATTTGAATTTGCCGCCATTTTGTTCTCCTTGAAACTTTCTGGAAATTTTTCAAAGTTTTTGATTCCTTACTGAAAATGACGAACGTACACTTTTATTTAGTGAAGCGCATAGCCATTTACAGTGACCCCCCTAGGAAGATAAATGCGTTAATTGATACAAATTTTTCATTTCACTACTGTAGATATGTATTTTCAGTGTTTAATTGGAATTGCAGTCCAGGACAAGACGATAATTTAACTCTTTAGTATTCTTCCAGCTTTCGAAAATGTTTATTCGAAAAAATAAATTTATAAAAAATTTTATTTTTTATTATTTAAGTCAAAAGAAGATGCTTGGGGATGGCAACCGTTGTCTCACTTCGATGGATGTGGTGTTCCTTGCAGCACGAAATAGCTGCTCAGCTTCAGATCATCGAATTGGTGTGGCATCGATTTCAATATTTCTCTAACATTTATCCCTTGAAGGATAATTGAGGTATCACATCGTACATGTTCACATATCAAGCTCTACTATATCATTCTTTTGGTTAATATGAATTTTTCGAATGAATCTTCTAGTGTTCATTTTCAAGAATGGCAGAATATATATATATATATATATATATATATATATATATATATATATATATATATATATATATATATATATATATATATATATATATATATATATATATATATATATATATATATATATATATATATATATATATATATATATATATATATATATATATATATATATATATATATATATATATATATATATATATATATCGAAAATATATAAGAAAATGAACACTAGAACATTCATTTTAAAAATTCAAATCAATCAAGAAAATGATATAGTAGAGCATATGTGAACGTGTACGATGTGATGCCTCCATTTTCTTCAAGGGATAAATGTTAGAGCATTATTGAAATCGATGCTACACCTGATGGAAGTGCGAGACATATATGTTTCGTTCTGCAAGGAACTCGTCAGTCGCACCCCGTCCATTGAAGTGAGGACACGATTTCAACCCCCAAGCATCTTCTTGTGACTCCAAGTGGAAGACCGTAGAGTTATGAATACTCTACAATTCCATCTATAGGAATCAGTAGAAAAAAATTTTTCAGATAATAGACACACCAAGCATCGAAATTTCACATATCTTCTATACCCGTAGGTATCTACTAAATTGCAATGTCTATTCGACCAATATCATCGAACGATGTTTTTAAATGTCAATAGGTTGCGCTAGTAGTACGCTCGCGTTTATTTCCGTATTTCAGGGGCCTATTGGGCGATATTTTTAAGGAAATGAAATTTTTAGTGCTTATGGCACTGAATGAAATATTTAAGAAAATGAACACTAGAACATTCATTTGAAAAATTCAAATTAATCAAGAAAATGTTATAGTAGAGCTAGATATGTGAACGTGTACGATGTATTAATTCTTGATTAATTTGAATTTTTCAAATGAATGTTCTAGTGTTCATTTTCTTAAATATTTCATTCAGTGCCATAAGCACTAAAATTTCATTTCCTTATATATATATATATATATATATATATATATATATATATATATATATATATATATATATATATATATATATACATAACGATAATAATGGAAGATATCTATTTTCCTACAGGCAGAATAACTCCCAGTCAGAGGATAAATGTTACAATATCCATTTAGAATTCTTCACTTATTTTTCTATGACATATAGTTAAATTGAAATCTTAAAAAAAAATCATGGGAAAAAAATGTATCGAAGAAAATAAAAATTAATAAGGAAATGGGCATAATTTTTTAATTTCACTAGAGATATCTGAAATAAAAAAATATATGAAAATTAGAAATCGAAACGAAAACTGATCACAGTCTCTTCATTCACTCTGAACATTTCTGTTGAAGAAATTAATTATTTTAATAGAGTTCAATATAAGCCGAGTGGGTCCTTTTTCAATTCAAAACCTCATTTTTTCGATATCTATTTATTTATTTATTTGTTTATTTATTTATTCATTTAATCAAATGTACATGCGATTTTACAGTTTGTGAAACGATGCTACCACAAAGTATCTACATAAAAAAGGCAATTTGAAAAAATATAAGAGATAAAAAAAAGATTCGAAATAAACAGTGCATCCAAAATGTCAATATGCTTATAGCTAATAAAATCGAATGAACCCAGTTTAAATTTCATAAAGAAAATCAAATAAAAAATATCTTTACAAAATTACATATATTATAAACAAACATTTAACCTACATCTCAATGACACTTTAAAAAGAGTTCTTCTTCAACTTTCACTACAACTCCTCTGACTCAAAATATGTTTTGAGGGAAAAAATGGACATTACGAAAAAACAGCGCAGGCATTCGTAACAAGGGACTATTAACGCTATAATTACTAGAAGCGAAATTAATATGAAAAATTTCTCTTGATCTCAGCTTAATTTCCTCAATAAATATTTGCAATCTAAAAAAACATTCACCAATTTATAAACCATCAGAATGTCAAAATTATTTCTACATACTTCTAAATATCTCAAATTAATTCGCTTCTGAACTTCATTATAATTTATAACTGATGACGAAGTTCCTATTTTAAAAGCAACCCAGTTCAGAAATGTCTTTAGAACTCGTTCAATATTTTGAATATGTATGTGAGACACTGGAGACCAGACAGCATCTTCGAAGATTTGTTCGGAATGTTGTGTATATGAGGAGCGAAACTAAGTTTATGGCCAAAGTACACACCTAAGTCCTTAATGATGATAACGTCCTTCAATGCTTGATGGTTCAAATGATATCTAAAATGTGTTACTTAACCAAATGGACAA